AAAGTTAGTAAATCGCATATCTAATAATAAGACAAGGAAATAATGAGACAACCGCCTTATTATCCATTTATTGTCATCGATTAAATAATTCACCTGTTTTATGTCATTGACAACTTCCTCGAATCTTCCATCATCGTTCAATATTTCTCCCAAATCAGTGTTGCTGAGATGATTCAACATCGACAATGCAGCTAGAATATCCATAGAAATTGATGAATTTATTATTAATTCATTATTATTTATTATTAATAAATGTCATCGTTCATTTTTAATTCCAGGTTTTCAAATCATAACAATTTTCCATCTATTGACTTAGTGGATTAGGCCTACAGGGGATACCACTTTAAAAAAAACGCGTCAAGGACTCTACCTCTTGGGTGACGTGGAAAGGGTTTCACTTTAATTACTTGATTTATGAAAAAATAGTCAATACTAAGATTCTCTCTTATTGAAATAATCATATACCCATTGTTGATCAATTAATTGTTAATAATTGTTATATTTCGTACATACAAAACAAAATAGTACCTCCAATTTCTCAACTTTTACCACTGAATGATCAAAATTGAAAATTCAATTATTAATTACACTGAAAATTTTGATTTCTACATAATACGTTGGATTAAAGCGTGATGTTTTGGCAATTTTTCGTTGAAAAACCGAAATGCTCGTTGAATTTCGAAAAAAATTAATTAACCGATTAATTTAGTTTCTTGATATGACAAAAATTTCTTCTTGGTTTATACCAAGATCAGGCCTTCTCTTTCTTGTAGAAATTATCAATTCATTCTACAGAATAACTTAATTACCTTTATTTTAATAACGTTAGAAATTGACAAATTTACTTTAATAATATAATCCCAATTTATTTGTATCTAACTTGTACTTGGTATCTGTATAAACAATCCTCGTGCAACTATTAATAATAATGATAAACATTGAAAGGTAACAAATGGTCGAGAATAATTGAATTTTTCCGCTTTAAAGAACTGTCACAGACCGTCCAATGAAAGTGCAGGGAGAAAATTGGCGGGAGTAATTTAGCCAAAATGGCGGCTAATGGCGGAGTGGAAATAGTGTCGCTGTGTTCGCTGCACAACTTTGGGGCGAAAAACGGTAAACGGTTCGATGTCAGGAGCTTTGACAAGTTTTTAGTCCGTGTAAGTAGGTGTTTTCATAGTATTTCTATCGTATCACGATTTTAACTGCATATTCCAGCATCCCATTGGATAAATAATGATGGAAAAAATTTTTACAATGTGTTTCATCGAGTCTGTGGCTGACAATTCCAGTTCTCGACACTTGTATCTTTCATCGGCACCAGCTCTAACCTCAAACGTTGGAATTCCATCGTTCGAATGGAATATCTGATTTCAAATTAAATAGTTAGGGGATTCAGTTCGGTTTGAAGATTAAATTGATTGGGAGGAAGTTCACATTCTTGTGCAGAATAACAAATCAAAAAGTTTGGGGGTTTCCAGGGGTGATGGATCATCGAGAGTTCCTACAATCATTGAAATTCTTTTTCTGTTTATTTGAATGTTAACAAACGCTTTTTCATGGGAAAAAAGGAACAGGGAATCCTTTTTAATGGAGATGATCGTTTTTCATTCAACATAAAAACATTTTGGAAAAATCATTTGTTTGGGTCATTTTGTATTCCACTAATGTTTTATCTCAACAATGTATTTTTTTTTCTTTTTGTAGATTTAAATTGATGAAAAGAGTAAAGAGAAAATGCCACCATTGAAGAAGGTTGATTTGGAGAGGATGGCATGGAGTTGGATAGAAACAGTAGCACCAGAGGAAATCGAAAAAATTCACATGGAGACTGCATACCGAATAGGATTGAAAAATTGTAAAAATTGCAAGTGAGTGAGGAATGAATGTTCAGAAGCCAAATGATTCTCTTTTTAAATGCGACAGTCGGTGAATGTTCTCAGCCACTTATGCATACTGAAGCTGATCATGTCTTCGAGATGATAATCCTAATTGTTATCGTGTTTCAGACGTAATTGCAGTCACAATCCATGTTGCTTGACCGGTTTAGGAGAGGAGAAGTACTTTAAGTCTCAGCCAGCAGAAGTGGCCTCACTGGAAAGTTCACTGTCAGAATTGAGAGATCCAACACAGTACGTTGGGCTGAAAAATCTTGGTGCTACGTGTTACGTTAATAGTTTAATTCAAGTTTGGTTTCATAATGAGGATATGAGACGAATAATCTATAAATGGGACATCACAGCTGATCCGGAGGAGTCAGAGTCCCTCCACCGTTCCCAGTCATTAAAGCACCCGTACCATCCTCGAACAGTAGTAGGGCAACTCCAGTACATCTTTGCAATGATGCAATTTGGTAACAAACGCCTGTTGGACCCCACGAGCCTTGCGATTGCCCTCTCCCTAGACACAAACGCCCAGCAGGATGCCAGTGAATTTTCCAAACTCCTCCTCGCACACATCGAGAATAAATTGACTAGTCTTGCACTGAAGCCTCGCCTGCAACGACTGACACAGGGCACTTACATCTACGTAAACAGATGCTCGACTTGCTCTACAGAATACCAAACCCCTACAACTTTCTACGAACTGGATCTGCAACTGGCACCAACCCTGAGAGAAGCTATGGATAATTACCTCAGCGAGGAGGAGCTCGTAGGGTCCAACAAATACCACTGCCAACGCTGCAACGAAAAGCAAAATGCCAAGAGATTCATCAGACTTAACTCCCTACCAGAGACTCTGAATTTCCAACTGCTGAGGTTTGTTTTTGATCGCGAAAGCGGACAGAAGAAGAAAGTTTCATCGTACATCTACTTTCCCAATGATCTGGATATGTCAGAGTATTTGAACTGCCCCCCAGGCACTCATTTGTACTCTTTGGTTGCTGTTTTGAGCCACAGGGGACCCTCAGCCCACTCTGGACACTATATTGCCTGGATCTGTCGATCTTCTGGGGAGTGGTACCAGTTCAGTGATGATTTGGTGGAAAAAACCCAAGGAAAGAGGATTGGGGATGGAGTTGGAGACAATGGTAAGAGGGTACCCAAGGGTTTCCTGTCTTCCAACAATGCTTACATGTTAGTTTATAAGAAGAATTTGGATGGAAAGGTCAAGAAACCTATGGACAATGGAAAAAGGAAGGAGACCAGTGACTCAGACTCTTCGGACTCCATTTTCAGTTCTTCCAAGAAAACCAAGAAAGGGAGGAAGAAGATCAAGGGGGTCGATGAGGATTTTGATAATCCTGTCAAGAAGTCTAGGAAAAATGATACACATGATGACAAGAATGACAGGTGTCGAGGAGAGGATGATGATGTCAAGGAGGAGGGAGAGGGGAATTGTTCTCCCGGGGATGGGGGGGAGACGAATGGGGTTAAACTCACGATGAAAGAGAATTATGATAAGAATTATCAGATGCTCAATGGAGATGCTCACAGAGCAATGGGGTGTGGAGAGAGGGATTATTATGAGGCGATGGAGTTTCAAAAGTGGGAAGTGAGTGAAACTTTGAGGGAACTCGTTAAACAAGAGAATGTGGCGCATGAATTGAGTCTTCTGGCGGTTCAGGAGGAGAAGCAGAAAAGGATTGAGGAGAAAAATGTTAAGAGACAGGAGGTCATTGATTTTTATGAGGCCTGGGGAAGGTGTGAAGGGGTTGGTGAGAGATTCGTCTGGATTCCTACTAGTTTTATCAGCAAATGGCTTAATGATGATTCTGGTGGGAATGAGGGGGTGAGGGAGATCGATGTCGAGGGCGTTATGTGTCGACATCGGAAAATGGATCCTGGCAAGGTGCACAAGGCCAAGTGTGTCCCTATGGATGCTACGGAGAAACTCCTGGGGAAATTCCAGATAACAGAGATGCTTGGGGAGGACAGCTTGTGTCTGGCATGTGTCAGGAAGAAGTGCAAGACTATGAGGTTTAAGATTGAGTTGGAGAAGGATCACAAGGAGGTGCTGGAGTATATGAGGATCTTTAAGGATTTTAATGAAGATAGTTACATAATTGGTACAGACTCATTGAAACATTGGAGAAAATTAGCAATGGAACGTTTAGAGGGTGAGACGAGTAACGATAATGACTCAGAGCAGACGAATGATCAAAAACCAAGTGACAATCAGAAAGAGGAGATCGAGGAGGAGTCAGAGCCCATTATGAATTTCAATGAGGACCTTCTCTGTGAACATGGGGGACTCAGAACTCCAGATGATAGCAGTAGGAAAGTAATACCAGGGGCTGCCTGGAGAATTCTCCAAAAGTATTTTCCAAAGGCTGCTGAGTATCCCTCTGGTACAGAACCATGTATTATTTGTGAAGAAAGAAATGAGAGTGCTGAGAGAGTCAAGGCTGTCGATAAAATTAAGGGAAAACTGCAGAAGGACCAGTTGAGCCAACTTTATCAAGGAAAAAATAGGAATGAAGTGATGAAGGAAAAGAACTGCCACAAGGAGTACTTCATTGTTGAGAAGGGATTTTTTGATATTTGGAAGACTTTTGTTCGGTGAGTCAATTATTTTTCTTTATTTAACAACATTTCCGTCAGGGATTTTCACTTTCTGGTTTTTCACGTTTCGCTTCTACTTGCAAGTTCGATTACTTCCAAATAGTAATTAGTTCTGAATATTACATATAGTTATTCACGTAGTACTATTCCCCAATTCGGATTAATTCGCACTCCCTATTACCGAGAAAAATTGATGGATTTCTCCTGGGCGCGTTGAGGGATTTTTTTCTTAATTGTCCAATGAGGTGTGGGGGGAAATGGGAAAACTAATTGAAAACGTCTAATGATCCACCACTGGGTGATACATTGGGGGTTGAGCCCCCACGTTTCTCCTAAAATCCACTCAGACCCTTTTTTTCGGATATTCGTATCGACAGAAAAGAGAATTGCCGACTATTCCCCCAGAATAATCAGTTGTCTTGTAGAATTCATCAATTTGTCGGTTGAATATGATATTTTCTTACTGTTAGAATATTTCGTGGACGAATGGGTTTAGAAGAGAATGAGAAAAAATACGAGAGTGAGACAACAAAATATCTCATGAATAATTACTCATTTATGATGTGGTAAAGTCCCACGTAAAATCAGAAGGACATCCCACAGTGGATAGTCGTTGGGTTGGATGGGGTAAGGGTCGGGCGTTATCTCAAAATTATTAATCACGTTCGCCAAAAGGTTGAAAGCAATGGGGAGAAGGTTGGGTTTGTTATTATCCCCTCCCACCTCTACCCATTACGTCTCTATAGACTTAATCTGACAGCCTTAATCAATTTCGTGTTATTAATTATCGCACTTGTGACATCTTCAGCCACCGGAGAGGCCATTGTCTCGATGTCATATCAACACTTGATAATTTTAAGGAATTTTTTTACTGTTCCAAATGATCATAATCAATTAATTTTTTTTCAACATACAAAAACTGCATATTCTCACAATTATAGATTTTTATATGCAATTGGATCAATATATATACAAAAATTTTATAAATTCAAACTTATATATATCGTATATGTATTTTTTATCAATTTTTCCATGGCTAATTGTTCATCATGTTCTACATGATTGAGAATAATAGCTTAATTTGTTTAATATAATGCAATGACGATTTATTATTGAGATTTCTGGTAACGGTTCCACTGAGATTTCGAGGCATTACAAAATAGAAAATTCCCTATTTCTTTGAGAATTTTAAATAAAACGGGGCATTTCACAAATTCCATTAAAAGTAAACAAAATGATAAAAATTTTCATGGATAATTTAATTAATTGGATGATTCTCGTTTGAATGTCTAAATTGAAAATTTAATGACTGTTGTTCTTTGAAAAAGCCAAATTTGATTTTGCCCTCTTGAAAATGACTTGTCTGAATTTCGGAAATGACTTCCCACGAAATTTCAGTTTTTTGTGCAGTATAAACGTGATTACTAATTGTCCAAGGATTTTAAGGGGCGAATTTAGGATGTGGGGGAAAAAAAGTTGTGAAAAAAAAAAATAGACAGGCAGAAAAGCCCGGGCTTGAGCGATCGTTCTATGCAAATGTCTAATCCTTTCGTAAAATCCGCATCATTCCCTTTTCCTCTCACTCTCTCTCGGTCGCGACGTTGACGGATTGAAGAGGAATTTTGAGACGTTCTTGAGAAAATTACCCGAATTATTCGGATTTTTATATTTTTCAATAGTCTGAGTCCAATGATGTCCAGGATAAGGAGTTAATTTGATTGGATTTGTTTCCGTTAATTGAAAAATTAAGTTTATATTTTTAAAACAAGCAATTTTAGACTTAATTGACGTTTGTGTATGTTATGGGGAATTGAGAGTGACATTGCGGTAATCCGGAGCAAAGAGTTGATCCCTAGAGGGTGGTGTCCAGGTTTTGGATTCAAGTGGGAGTATGGAGAAGAGTTTCATTGGATTAGTTCTCTTGTCATATCAATTTTTAGTCTCTCCCAGGTTCCAGAAAGGAAAGGGGCTTGCTTAATTCGCTCTTTTGATCCTCATGAAGATTTCTACTGTAAAATTCCGGGCATTAATCTAAGAAAATTCCTTAATTTTTTATAAAAATCATGAAATTATATAGATTTCATGATTTCGTTAACAATTCCTCAAACATCCATTTTACAGAAAGTAAAAACCTGTGAAAATTAACTGAAATATCTGAGTAATCGATGTCCAATCTTTTTCTTCGATTTATGTTACAGTCAAAATTGATGAAAATCTTTTGATCTTGAAGACAATTTACCCCAGAATTTATGATTGTATCGAAAATTATTGCACTGGACGTGATTGATTACTCAATATTACCTATAATTTCTCTATTACTGAGAGTGATTTTTAAACTCATAAAATAAAAATTCGCTTCCATTTATCCTCGTAATGTTGAGATGAGTGAAAGAAAAAAAAAATAGCCCACGGGTGTAGGAAATTTTACAGCAGAGAAGGATACTTTTTGCATCCATACATGTGTTTTTTCTTTTAACTTTGCCGAACGAATCGTAAAATATCCTCGACAGCCATGTATTTTTTTTATTGAATTACATTTCACTGGACGACTACCTTTCGTACAGTAAAATTTGCTACGATTTTCTAGTTTTTCGTCTTATTTTCATCCAACTTTTCTCTCCATATACAAGAGAATTCATTCTCGACAAAAAATTTCTTCGTGGTTTGTCGATAATTCCACTCATTACCGAGATAATTGTAATTTTTTTAACAAATAATCCAGTGGTATTAGAATTTTGAATATGAAAATCAACTGGAGGATTTTGTATTTTCAAGTGATAATGACGTTTAAAAAACAGTTTAACGTTCGGAGTGACGAACAAATGGAAAGCCATTGAGTGAAATAAGTAAGAAAAACAGGAGAAACGGTTGGCTTGGCTTGGCAAGGAAAACAATAAATCATTCGCCTACTGGGGGTGTATGTACGGGGTTATTTTCAAATGTTAGAGTGGATTCAACGGTTGTGCCATCGAATCGCAAAATCCAACTACCCTTAAATAAGTTGATTCATTGCGAACGTACACACTTCCCCTCTTCCCTTTTAACTTAATTCTCCATCCCTATTTCTCTCAATTTCTTGCGCAATCATATATTCTCGGAATACTCACCGTTGTTTATATTTTGCTAATTCCATACAGATTACCCACGACATTTTTCCCTTCCTCCACCCAGAGGGGTTTAGAAATATTTGAGGGATGAAGTATCGATGCTGTTTCTTTTATATTGCACATAAGTTTTCGGAAGTTGTTGAGGAGATAATTCGATTGTCTCGGAAGCGAATATTTCTTCTTATATTTTCACTAGATTTATGTGGAACAAGAAGAATTTCTCGATTTTACATCATAAAAATGCATAATAAACGAAAAAAAAAATTAAATTCTAATCCTAATAGAAATCCTAATCCTAATATAAAAAGGAGAAAGGAAATCGATCTTGAAATATCTCGAAATGTCTCCAAATATATCAAAATATATCGAAATATATCAAATGACCGAAAGGGTAAGACCCGTAAGACCAAACCAACCCGCCACCACGACGTCGTGTCTAATCTAAATCTCAAACATTTCGAATGAATGTCAATTCAATGATTTTGAGTTTGACAATTAGACTTATTTTTTAATAAACTCTCACAACTCACTAACCAAGATAAAATACCTCAAGATTTATTCACTGAATATTTCATTTTACATTCTGTCTAAACCCAACGCTCAAGCAATCGAGCTTCTTCGATGCTGAACGGTCTATTCCAACGATTTCTTCATGAAAACAAGGAGAAATATCCCAATCCCCTCAATTTTTTATCGTCAACTTCTTCGAACTTATCATCCTCGCCTTGTTCTCCCCGATTATCATTTCTCCTCGGGTACTTGTGAACACCTCCAGGTATTTGTTTAGAGACCTGTCATCACTCGAAACACAACGAGTGAATGATTTTTCTTTCACCACTATTATCAGTTTTTTTTTTATTCCATAACCACTGGGCAACACCAGGATGTCGATTATCGATGGTTCTTGCGTTGAAACCGATTCACCGCTTGATTTTTTACGGCTCGGTGTAATTAGCTTCCGTCTCGAGTAAAAACACTAAATAATGGCATTGGTGAATATATTTTTTTTATTAGTTTTCCCTGACAATTTCGAAAAATTGCTAATTTTTCGTCATTTATTTTCTCAGCTTTAAGAGTTGTCTTCGTCGTACTGGAGAGAGTGAGAAGATGAAGGGGTGGCCAGTGTCTCGGGGGGCGGTCATATATCATCCACCCTCCCCTCCCATCCCCCTTTACCCCCCCCTCGTTTCTAGTAACCCTGGAAAAGGGGAAAGGGCAAAAAATCTTACCGAGCAAAAACTATCATCAGTGCTCGGTAAAGCGAGCTGAACGTGCGCTTCGTGTGCTTCTATACCTCTTCCTCTGGTATCATCCTTTTCCTTCGTTTTGGCTACCTCATTTCTACCATTTCTGTCATTTGGAGATATGCTCTTCGTTAATTTAGTCGTTGAATTTGAGGATTAAGGTACTCACACACTAGCTATCGATGTGAAATATTTACCAGTATCCTGGAGATAATTTTCTATCATGGATTTATTATTATGTTTTATGAAAAACAAGATTATCGAGAGGTCAAGTAATCTGATCATTCCATCGGTGCCTAAATATTATAAATTAATAAATTATAAAATTATTGATATCTTGAGGAGCCATTCCGTCAATTCGTCGGAATAAATTTTCAATGACGTACAGTATTTTTTTTTACTCTTCTAGACTGATTCATTCATCTCGAATATTTATCATTTTTTATGTAATAATTTTATAATTTATAATTTCTCTCAACACAAGTCAACAGTATTTTAAAATCGTGTATGAGGAAAAAAAATTCCCTAAAGTTTATGGGCAGTAAAATTGTATTTAATTTTCGTTGGGATATTAATTGAGAAATGGTTCTTGTTGGGGAAACACAGATTAAATTTTGTCCGAGGTTCAATGACTCGGAGAAATGAAAAAATAAAGATCAATCTCACGTGACAGTAGCTAGTTTCACGCGCCAATGGGTCGATTTCACGGATTCCTTTTTGTTCTTAATGATCCTTTTATTTTGTCAGAATACGTGTTACACATAAAGTCATTGTTTTACGCCTAGAATTTCTGTGATGACAAATCTCCTGGAATGTGGGTCGTTGACGCAATGCACCGTGAGATTGTATTCAAACCCATTTAATTAATTTACAGAAATTATTTCTTCTGCATTGTCGCAATCAATTTGGTAAATCCAAATAATTTCACTACTTGCTATAGATCACTCGACAGATTTGATTCTTCCTCTCCATAATTGTCTATTATTTCTAGATATTTAATTAATAAACAATATGAGTTTCCCCCCATTAATTCTTTACAAATCACAAATTAAACTAGTTTAATCATTCGTTTATTTGTCTTCTAATTTTTAGAAGAAAATTTTAACCTTTTTTTTATGTTAACTTTATTTTTAACAGTTATTTAACTTTTATATATTTGGTATTTGATAAATTTGGGGTGAGATAGGGTTGAAATGAAAGGTCTGGGGGTCAATTGCAGAGGAAGAAGGGGATGTCAATGAAAAAAAAAATGGTCCAAGCGCTTGGATATCTTAGATTATCGATTGATTACAAATTTCCGCAGCAGTGAAAATAATCCTCTTTCCCTCCCGGTATTCAATTCCAATTGTCGACCCTCTATTTTTCCCTCTTCATTGGCCTTTATCCTCATCTCAACATTTTTTCTTCTCTTCCATTGACACTAGACTTCCGCTACACGTAATCTCTCTCTCTCTCGTATCCCTTTGACTCGCGATATAAATCTTGTGTTTTGGCCTTTTAATATCATCCAAGAGGCTTGATTTACCGTCTTCTAACGTGCATCCGAATTCCCATAGTTTTTCCACCGAGAAAAAGATGAGGAGGAATAAAATGCGAAGGAAAATACAGAAATAAAGAGGGAATTTTGTGCACTCATCCCATCGAGATCTCATTGCTTCGGGTGGGTTTGGTGACATTTGTCTTGGGTTACACCAGCTCAAGGGGATGAGGACTGTGGCTTGCTTTGATTTAACGCTTTCCCACTAAATATTTGAGTGGAAAACCCTCAGTTTGTGGTCAACAGTCAAGAAAACGACATTTTTCCTCCCCAAATTATCATCCTTACAACCAGAAACTCCAGGTTAAATTTGTTCACCAATAAGCGGTAAACCAATAATTAATTTCCGCAATGATTTCAAAATTTTTTTCTCTTTTCAGTTTTTGAATTTTTTAAATTTTGCTACGACATACAGTGGTGGCGGTTTGATTTGGTCTTACGGGTCTTATCGTTATCATTGGGATTATCGTTGAAGCTAGCACGACACTCATAAAATATTCCAATGAAAAATATGTCTCTTGTTCCTCCCAATACCTGAAAATTAAACTGTATGTCTCTAGGGAGTAATAATGGCTACTCGCATCCAAGTGAAAGGAGACAATTTGCGCGAGTAAAAATTCCACGACGAAAGTTAAACAAAAGCTGGGGATAAAATTCGTACGAGGAAAAAAAGAATGAGAGAATATGAGGGTGAAAAAAAAAAATACTTCAATGGTTTTCTCTGTAATAAGGGGAAGCCGTGGTGACCAGATACGTTGATCACTACCCCTTACCACCCACCCCCCCGTAACTTTTAGTTTTTCCCCTTCGGTGGGAGCCTCTGTTCGCTGTATTTGAACAAGCTTCATAATTAATACGCATTCCCCATTTTTCTCGTACTGGAGGGAGATGGATACTTTAAATACGTCCACCTGCTATTTATTAGTATTTGTTGAAGCATATGACGGAGTTGGGGACCTGGGGAATACATGAGAAAATTTAATGTTGATTTTGTTCTCTCAAATTGAAAAATATTTCTGTTTAATTTTCATTCTTTCTTTCTTAACCGTGAAAAATACCTGAGTATAGATGTCCTCCTTTAAGGACATTATCTAGTAGCTGAGGAACATGTGGGGTGTGAGGGGATATGAAGGGAGGCAAAAACGTTCCGCCCCTTCGTGGTACGTGAAAAATGATGCACAACCCCCTTCCTCCATTCCCTCCACAATTCCTCAACCCCACCAACTTTTCCTCTTTGGCTTCTCATCTATACAGTGAAACCCTCACTGTTTAACTATCTCCAAATGCCCCTCAGGAGAGCCGATTTCTGGGTCACGTGTGCGATCATTCTTCTGATTGTCTGTCATATGGTGGTAGTGTCATTTTTCATCGGCACTGGCATTTTTCATTGTCTCTCAGTCTCACCAATTTCATTAAATTCCCAGCCTTCTCCTTGTTTTTTTAATAACTTTGTTAATTTTTGTTTCGTTAATTCTTGTTTCAGAACTGGTAAAAATGCTCCGAGTGGTATTAATAATGGACAACTACTCTGTGAGATTCATAAGGGCTTCCTCTACACCGCCGAACCCTCCAGTGAATTGTAAGTGAGAAATATTTATTTTACCAGGGGTGTGGGCAAAATCAGTGGGTCATTGAGAATATCTCAACAGCTTTTGCTATTTGGGATGAAACGTAATAGAGTACTGAATACTCTGAATCCTTGGGAAATTTCTTCAATTTCAAATTTGGTAATTAGTTGATTAGTCCATCAATTCATTTATTTATTCATAGCTACGGTTTAATATCGGGTTTATAAGCGACTAATAATTTTTTCGCGCGGAATTGGAAAAGATTTTCTAATTATTTAAAATGAACTATTAGATTTAGACATTTCAAAATTTGAATGCACAAGATCGTCCACTTTCTTGGCTTTTTTATATCATTTTTTATCCAGAGATATTTAATATTGAAATTGTTCACAATTTTGATAAAAATACCTACACTGAGAAAAATAATTATTTTTGCCAAGAATATTTTCTTCCCACCAGTAAATCTGGCGATCACTGCGTAAATACTCCCATAAGACTTACTAATGCCAAATATATTTTCTTGTGGTTAATAAATATTCTTGGCTAAAGAAAATTTTTTTTCTCAGTGTAGACCCAGCGGTGATCGAAATAAACTGTCAAGAACAGCCCTTTTAATTCCAAATTTACACAATAATTGAAAAATTCACTTAGAAATCTATAATTTAAATCTGAATTGAAGATTTGCCGAATAGCATTCCAGTGAAATATTCCTATTTTTGGAGAGAAATTAATTTCGATTCAACTGCAACGTGTGCAAATCAGCAGGGGATGGGGGTAACTCGCTAATTTGAATTTTCCCCCTGTGTCCCCTGCTGCAGCAAGAAATGGTATCGTGAGTTGAAGCTTGTCATTATTTGCCTAACGATTGAATAATGGGTACCAGCGAATATGGTGTAGAAAAGGATGCAATAAAAATTGGGAAAAAAATTTCATTGGGCCATTCGATGGTTGGGCATTCCTCCGGGAGACTATCGATTACAAATTGATATATCAGGAATAATTAATTCCGAGTTCATCGACACGATTAATTAATACATTCCTATGTAAAGAGGATCCCTTTAGGAACATTTATATCGAATCGAATCGAAAGTCGAAAGTCGAAAGTTGAAGTCTAAAATACGTCAGACTCATTTCTTTCATAAATCATCTTCCATCGGCATGTATGTACTGTCCTGTACACGGAATTTCTCATGGAGCATATGTATAGCTTCATGTATCCGAATTTACTTCAAGACCAGATTTTTCAAAATTTTTAATGCCTGAAAACTCCAGAGTCTCACTGAGTTATCAATAACTTAGTAATAATAACCAGGAAATTTCAGGAGAATATGAATGTGTTATGTTTAAACATTCTAAGGTGTTTCTATAAAACTTCATGAGTAATTATTTAACAATATAATCCTACAGATTAATAATCTGTGACAGAACACACATTGTCATGCGCGCGTTCGACGTCTCTGATAATAAAATCCAAATTTTGTAATCTCTCCCTCAATTAGCGGTCATTTCCAATTTTTTAAATAATTTTTCCATAATTTTTCTAAATGCCCACCTTTTTACCCACAGACACGCCAGTAGAAAATTATTTTGTGTCAATTCCTTTTACCCACATTTGTTATAAACCCATTATTATTAAACTCATTATTTTCTCAATGTATATACTAAAAATTTGCAATAAGAGTGCGAAAAATGGTATTAAAAATTTTGTAAATAGTATGAAAATGAGTGAATGGGAAAAAAATATGTGCAAATGAAAAATGGGTAAACAATATTGTCTGGATAAAAAATGGTGTTTTTGGGATTGAATTAAATAGGGTGACACATTGGGGTGAGGTTGAGAGTCAAGTTGACTGGGTATCTCAGTCAGATAGTGGACAATAGCTTAGCATAATGGTCAGATGGGGGTTTAGCATGGCATTGGCCCCCGGGGGCGTGTGCCTGACATTTTCGGGTATCCATCACCACAAAATGCTCCTAAGCATCAGTCTCTGCACCCAAGGGCTGAAATCTAAACCTTCCAGGTCACGCAATGTCTTGCAACATTTATATTTTTAATGTCAAAACCTCATTAAACATTTTCATCGTTCACTCATTGTTATGTTAGCAATTTACAGAGAATTTAATTGTAAAAATGCGTAACACTCGCTGGATTTCTCATGTGTGCGCAAGAAGGGGAGTAGTTTCGGGTGGAAGGTAGACCCCGAGCAAGAAATTTCTAATTTACGGTATAATTAAGGGTGGGGCTTGCAAAAACAGTTGATTCTAAACGTTAACTCGAATAAATTTACAAATTTACCTTCGTACATTGAGGGAAAATGAGAATTGACTATTTTATCATTTCTGTTTCAGTTATACTATTGTAACAGAGGAAGAGTGGGGTAAATTAACGGAATTTTACCAGTCGGATTATGCAATTAAGATAGTCAATTTAGGAACTGATGAGGCTAAGCTGAAGACGGATCCTGGTGAGTTCATACTTCCATAATTTCATACACTAGCATTTAAATGACAATTTTATTTTTACATCTATCTGATTTAATTATCTCGTCAGTAACAATTCATTTGGTTTGGGGGGGGGGGGGGGATTAATGAGAGAATGAGGCGTTAAATAGAGAAATTTCATTTGTGGATCAATCTCGATCTGTCAACCAACAATTTTCCTTATTTCCTTATTTTCCATCTTTGTTTTTTTTTTTTATAAAGATTGGAGTAAATTCATCAATACAATCTGAAACCCATATTTAGATAGATTTTATACTGACGAAGTGAAATCCAATCAAAGATTACGTTCGATAGATACATATATTTTATTTTATGATTTTTTTTAACGGAATTCGTTGCAAGTTCTTGCAGGAACTTGCAACTGGCCATCGCCCGAGGGCCTTCAGCCATGGATACATATATTTCTTGAATGAAGAATAACCCCTCAAGGCCCATTAACAATCCATTAATTTATATTTCATATTTTATTTAATGCTATTTTTCATAAAGTTATGGTTTCCAAAGGCAACTGTAACTGAAGTTAGGTCTTATCGGGAACTCAAACCCCTGTTCTGATTTATCATCACGGTTAGAAAATCAAATCGATTATTCTGGTCTTTCCATTCCCCCAGGACCCAGTATTCACCATTCGATCTTATTGACAATTAATTTTCCCCAAATGTTTTGCACTTGTCATTATGTAAATGCAGAAAGCAGGATAGAGGGGTGATTTACCCGGGGGATTTAATGTCTTCATACACACGCCCACTACTGTTGCTAATCCATCGCGATTTCGATGCATGATGTACAGAAATTACCCTAAAGACAAAAGGCCTCTGATGACGAGAGAAGAAAAAAAAAACTGGAGAACAGAGAAAGACAGAAATAAGAGGGAATAATGCACGAGGACATTAGCTCCTTATTTACATAAATCCACCCCATCATCTTCACTAAAGTGTCCTTATAATTAAGACGTATCCAGTGAAATTAACGGACGATAAAAACCGACAGTTTAAATGACACTGTTCATGACTCGTAATTTCTCAAAGTACCAAAAAATAACTGAAGTGTTGTTAAAAGCCGAAAGCCAAGTATTTTCGATTATTCTTTTTGCTTCATCGAGTTGACAAACAGGCAAATTGCCTGGTCAAAGAGACAAAACGTCCAAGAACCGAGAGAAATTGAGAATTGTGTTGACTCGATCCTCTAAACATCCCATTGTCTTGTCCATCTCTTTGAATATATATTTTTTTTCTCCTCCCATGTTCTTCATTTTTCTTTTCACTTCACTTATTTCTCTCTTCTCTTTACCCGAACTTTCTTCATTTTTTCACGTTACATTTGTCAAGCCACTTTGGATTCGACTATCGCTCCCAGGGCGGTCTCACTCCCCTCTTCTTCCTATTTGAATTGCAAAGATACCTCATTCACTACTTCTCTCCCACTCACTTGTACCTCAAACGTTTAACCTTCACTTTAAAACTAATTCCTCAATTGGCCCTTTTTTTGAAAATATTTTTTTTGAAAATTCCTCCATATTTTTATTTCTACCCGCCACATTCTGTGGTCCTATCCTCAGGATCCTATTATATAAAATGATTGCATCAGACATTTTTGCATATTTATCAGATTACCTCGTGATTTCGTGGAAAACAGGTTGATGAATGAAAGACCCTTCTATATAAGACCAATTAAACTGAGAGCTATTAAACTATATTCTCACGTCGAGAGGTGCTTCAAACCGAATAAACAACATGACACGATGATTTCCCAGTAGTAAATCGCATTTTCATACTTCAATACTTAATTCGTATTTATTTTTGCTCTTTCATAGAGCATTTCTGGCCAATTGTGAAGATACTTAGGTATCCCTGAATGGACGTAGTGAGGTTGAACGACAGAGGTGATGAGGGGAATGACGGAAATGAGGGAGATGAAGGGGATAAAGGGGATCAAAGGGATGAAGGGGATGGGGGGGGATTTGGGTGACGAAAAATCAGGGGTTGTTTTGGGTGACTGATATGGCAGTGGACTAACGAGGAATGACTTAGTTGTTCCCTTTCCTTTTACCTCCCCCCCTCCTTCTTCCATTCCTCCCTTCGCCACCCTCTCCCTCTTCCATACCTCCTTCCTCCACCCCCTCCCTCATTCATCCCTCTCTTCCCCACCCCCTTCCTTTTTCACCCCACCTCTTCCACCCCCTAGGTAGGGGCCTCTTCCACCCCGCCGTACATTTGTGTCTCAGCTGTGGAAGTGAGCAGTTTGGCCACATTACGGCCTACATATCAATCAAGTCACCCTGACTACTCACCCCACTGAGAACACTTGTCTGCCCAATGTTATGCCCGTCTGACCCGTTCGACATTTTTCTCAACGGTGAGATAATCAGATTAACGTAATTTACTTTTTCTCTTTTATTTCATATCTTTTGATATTTCCTTCGGGTGGTATTATTATATAGATATATTGGATATATATATATATGTATATATATATTATATATATTGAAGATCATTTACTTTTTATCTTCGCAAATATTTTTACGCAATTTACATATTAGTACACAGAAAAAAAAATACCGGAAAAATTACGGAAATTTCACGTATTCGTGGGGTGACCTTGGTAATTTCCGTAAAAATTTTTGTAGCTAGCAGGAATTTTTACGAAGGTTTCAGGGCAATTTTACAGGACCTCCAGTACTTTTTCCCGAAAAGCAAGGTGACCTCACGAATACGTGAAAGTACGTAATTTTTCCGGTATTTTTCTCTCGTGTAGTTCTTAGGCAGTCAACATTATTTTTTGCGTCCCAATTCTTTCAATTTATCTACATTTCGCCTTTTTCTTTTCAATCATTCATTTTGCAAAGCTGTAGTGTTCATGATTAATTATTTTTTAATTCGAGTTTATTGGGGCATTACGTCCTTCAATTTTTGTCGTACTGTAACGAGATTGTCTCCACAAAGTCGGGGGAATAAAGTCAATAGAATTAAAAAAGTGGAGATGTGAGCACAATAATCATTCATCAAATCATCGATTATTGCTCCTCCATACGATAAAATCAAAATTCAAATTGATCCATCGAAAATCCTGCGGAGGGAAGTATTCTAGATTTTTTGGTCATTAGCACAACCAAATATTTATTGCAAAATCTCTCCTGACGTTTGATAATTGTGTATTGAAAGTCACAGACTGTTTATTTACTTTTCCACATATGATGAGGATAAAAAAAATATCTGAATTTTTCTAAAAACTCTGAGGAAAAGTAATGTAAAAATGCCATAGATCCAGTGAAAATTGCAATATTCCTCCGAAAGTCTTACGACATTCCCAAAATCATGCCTGTTCCGTCCTTCCATGACATACAACCGTATTATCGGAATTTTTGAGTCATAATGTCGAAGTGCAGGTCGAAATAACACCAAAAATGACAATTCCACCGATTTTCGCTGTTTTACTTCATACAGAATAAAAAGAAAAAGCTGAAACATCTCGATTTAATGAAAAGCTCGATTGCCATAAATAACGAAAACCATAACGTAAGGATCGCAAATCATGTAACAAGTGAGGGGCTGGAGAAAACTTGAATTTGCCAAAGTGTTATGTACACACACGTAACACCAACAACAAAACAGAATGGCCTCTCGCCAACGGTTTGAAGGAAGTGGTCGAGAAAGGAGAATTAATATTCGGTAGATGGGCTTTAGGATTTAGAACACGAATTTGCAGATTAGTTTCCGTTGGTCCAATGCGGTCAGCGGGTGGTACCAGTGGGTTGGGGATGAATTTGAAGCAAGTGCTGTGGACACCAGCGATATATCTACCCGTTGCCCAACCGATAAACCGATGAACTCAATTTTTCTCAGCTCAAATTATACGGATGAGACGAAATTGTGGAATTTTGTCATGTGGAAATTTCTCTAGTTGGAGTTTTTGTGAGGGAGGGAAAGAAAATTAGCAGGATAATACAAAGCGTTGAGACAGAGAAGGATCCACGAGTTTTATCCCACCGGAGATCCCCTACTTGTCTCTAACGTGTAACCGACGGGGGGTCCTCTCCTTCGTTGGATTAAATGGAGCGCCTAGATGACCGATGCTCCAAACGAGGGTTCAGTATTACGTATGTGTCTGTGTACACGACAAAAAAAAAATTACATAAAACAACAAGCTAAACCTCGCAAGATATTTTTCTTCTCCCCTTTTTCACCATCGATGTGATTATTGTACTTGTAAGTATGGCACTATTACTTGTTTCACCTTTTTACCAAGACTTTCCTCCCGAATTCAAGCATTATAATCCTTTCAATTTTTAATTCATTGAGTGTACGATTTCTTATTTTTCCATCACTAACTTTAGCCTCGAGTTTTCATATAACATTTTAATTGAAGCATGTCAGTTTTTCCACATGAATTTCCACATTTTTTGGATCACGTATGTGTGGATCTCACCAAAAAGTTCATTAACGATTGCGCAAGAAATAATTATTCAATTTCATTCAAACAAGTGTTAAAATTGTTGCGAAGTACTGTAAAGAACAAGTGCATTATTTTCAAAACTAGTTTTTAGCCGGTATCTCGTAATTGAAGGAACATGTCTCATTTTTCGTAAAAACATTTTTTATAGAAAAAATCTAGAGCTACGAGAAAGGTATCTACAGAAAAATTGTTAGCTCCCTCCAATTTCGAGATATTGGCTAAAAACTGGCTTTAAAAAAATACACTTACACAAATACATCAATGTCGGCCCAGTGTTGGCTCAATGGTGCCTCAATGTTCAATAATTATACTTTATGTAATGAGAAGATTCTAGACTTGGACTTTTTTAATTGTCAAAGTACTTGCATCTTCCTAAATAAACTGGAGAATGGTAGAACCTTGAGACTATGATAATCTCAAAGTTAGGGAAATGTCGTGGACTATTGGAATAAAATCAGATTATCAAGAAACTTTGGATTGAACGTTGAAAGTTTCTTTTATGGCTTGACTACCCTCCAATGGTACTTTAGGGAAATAACACGTCCTATTGTGTATTATCCAGTAATAAAACAGCGAGTAAATCACAAACCAGAGATTTGCCAATCATCGATACAAGTTGTTTCAGACTTTTGCACCGAGAATTCTAAAAATATTCGTTGAGCGAAAATTAAGTAAAATCTTACAATTAAATCGAGCAGTTGATGACCCAAATTTCAAACTACTGTCTTCTTAAATATCATTAATCATCTAGCTACCCTCTTGCCGGACGCAAAAAATAAGAGTACCCCAGTTGATGCCTCGAAGCAAACGCCAGAGACAATTCCTAAACCGTGACATTTTTTTTCTCTCTTCCATTTTCGTGTCCCACACTAACACACATAAAACCACATAGTTGAAGAATTCCACTTAATTCCCTGGCGGATTTTCGGCCCTGTCGGGTACCTCTCCCCCCATTTTATTTCGCCTTCAAACCTGCCAACATCAACGATTGTCCCTCGTTTTCTGTTTTTTTTTGTTACCCTCCTTCTCGTTCCGTTGGTCTCTCCCATTTCCTCTTTTTTTTCCCTTCCTCACTTGATTTATCGCTGCCTAATTAGCCCCCGGACGATTCAATGAGAATCGTTAATGTTTCTGAATGATCATTGAGTTGTGGGAGCAGGTGTGGGGGAGAGATCGTGATACTGATTGTTAGTCTCTTTTATTTCAGAAAATTCTAGAAACTACTTGTTCTAAATACCGCGAAGTACATCGTCCGATCCAGTACATGGAACGATCGAAACAAGTCGATTCAATACTTTTTCTCATTACTCTTTGTCCGATCACGATTAATTTTGATTAAAAAATTGTTATGAAGCGGGAAAATTTTGCAAATTCAAAAGTACCAAAGGATTGTACTCCTCCTTGTAAAAATCTTGGCCGTTTCACAGCCCATGAACTATTCCCAGTTTTATTAACTTTCGACTTCTTACTTTTTTTTCATTCGACAATAATCTGAAATTATTCCGAAGTCATAGTCAATTGCATTTTCGAATTTGTTGGGTGATAACGGGTTGACACAACACAAAAATAATTTTTTCGGAAGCAAAAACTCTTCAGATGAATCGTATAAGATATTATTAGTTGATAATATTATTGTGAATATTTGAAAGTTTTCTATCTAGTTGATAAATTTGAAGGTGGAAACTGCTAGAATAGAGTGTGTGCTCTACAATCCTTAATGAAGACGTTGATAAGAGGCTTAAGTTGACTTGGAGACAATCCCTGTGGTTATCAAAGATGTTTCAACTTCAGGTTAAGATGACTCAAGTGGTTGACCCAAAGAGCATCCTTACATTTTAATCGTATTTATTTCGTGAAACAGTGGCTTTGAATCTAGCTCCATTCACTTTGACGAAAGATTCGAGTGCGAGAGAGAGAGGGGAAGAAAACATCAATCTTTGAATAACTCAGCGCTCTGAATGGATTACTCGTAATGTGAATATGTCACTAACGGTTTTTCAATTTTGATGGAAGACCTCCCTGAATGTCAGATCAATGAAAATTCATTTTTCTTGGCATATGTTCTGAAAACACCATAAATTAACTGGAAATTCCGAATGTTCCCAGAGTAAAGTCTAAAAGAAAATAGAAATAAGGGAAATGGATTGCGTCATTGGAAAATTATAGTAATTTCCATTTGAGGGTATGTCTGTTGGTTTTTATTTTCAAAATTGTGGGGATTCAGTCAGGATAACTAACAAGTGCAAAAAAACGTGCATTACGGGGCGAAAAAGTGTGACATCATTCTGTGGTGATTATTCCTCGTAAACAAAACGCACAATCGATTCAATTTTTTTTGCGTGTTCAATGATGCGGCTTCTACCCTAAACAATATTTATTTAAAAAACAATGCAGCCGTTGGTTGAAAAAAATTCTAATCCTTGACGCTCCATTTAAACCCATTAAGTTACCCAGAAAGTTACCCAATTAAAAAAAATTTATATCTCATGTTCAAAACAGATAATCTCAAAGGAAAAGTCATAATTTTGCAATTACTTTTATTAACTATTCACTAAAAAAATTCAAACAGAAACTCGAGTGAATCTTGTACACAACAACACCCATAATATCTCAGAGTTGAAAAGCCTCTTTTTAGATTGGAATTTATCCTGGATATTAATTGGCTAAACCTATTTGAGGGACGCCTGAAATCCCTGAAATTTTCAGTGTGCAAAGTACGAAACACCATGTATAATAAATTGTCCAACAGATCCGCGTGGATGATTAATACAGTAATTAATAATATACGGTGACCAAGCCCCATCAGTGATGGTTGTTAGATCCTCTCTCCCTTGGTCATAAGAAGTCCTCTGGGCTATTGTTACCGGTGGACACTGGGGGGCGGCCAGTGTTTAACAGCAAAAAGCCAAGAGGCCAAAGGCTCAGAAATGTTACGTCATGCCCCAGACTTTTCCCGGGGAACAGGGGGAGAATAGACTCCAATGGGCTAGACCTGGTCCTATCGAATGAATTCGCTTGTCCCTTGGACGAGTAATTACCCTCCCTACCTCCCACACCATCCGCTTACATCTGATAAGGTCAGTGATAAGCCAGGATATTGGTGTTCAAACCTAAAGGACGTGATGCTTTAACTAATGAGGTGAAATTGATTTCCATCACTAGGCAAGGCTAGTAATTCATTTTTCTGCATTTTAATTTGTA